TCAATGCCAACCGTTACAAGTACTGGCGCTGGACCCCGCGCCATGCCATGCTCTCGTTCGTCTACATGGGTCTGATTCCCGGTGTCCTGGGCTACTTTGCCTACAAGTACGAGGTATGGAATGACACACTGTGGCTGGATTGCGATTGTGGTCCCAATCCCGCGGAGAATTACGCGCTAACAATATGTAGGGCAAGTTCGAGTTCCGTGGAAAGCGCAAGGGAGATACCATCTCCGAGTGGTAGACGTTTAGCATTGAATGCCATAATTCAATTCCTGTTTTGTTATCAACTCCGTACCGAGCAGCGACTGTGACATGACGCGACATGGAGAATTACACTGAGAGGTTGGGGATACTCATGTGTTGAGGGGATCTTGCCCGACTCTTTTCTTTTGTGCCGGTGCCCGTTGCGTGGGCCGTGTACTTTATTACAAGCATATACCGCATGGATTTCTTTATTTTGTTGACTTCGTTCACGATCGTGAAACTTGGGGTTTACTTCCAAGGCCAAACATAAAGCCCCAGAGCATCCCACCTAGAAGACGGTTATCATCCATTTAAGTGACTGTCTGTTGCTATTTGGACTTCTGATAGGCGTCTACTGGCTAGGCCACGTACCTGGAAGTTATGGTAATAGCTGGTAAACATCTACTAGTAATTACTACATACTCAAAGCTTTCTCGCCTGATAAGCTCCTGACTAGCAGAAGCCCAAGATGCCGTACAGAGTTTCAGAATGAGTATGTACACTTGCAATGACTACACCTTACCTACTCACAGCGGTTGAAGAGGCCGAATTAATAAAGTAAATTTCTCCTAGAACAGATAATGTTAAAATGCTTTAAGCTAGTCACCTCTTTGGCAGTGGTAGACCGCTGAGGAAGGAGGAACACCATTTCTTATGTTTTTATGTTTTGATGGTACTGCGTGTAGTAGATGGTACTCATTCCATTGATACTAAACCTGATAATCATACAATGTCTCAACATGGGTATTCATCGCCCTTTTGACAAACTTGCTTTTGAACTGGATTTCTCTTCGCCCTTCTCAGTATGGTGCCCATCCACGACGGCCTCCGCGTGCACCTTCCGGCAACCGCTCCCCACGATGCCAATCACCTCGGGGCATATGGGGAGGACCACCACCACCTCCTCCTCCACCACCACCACCACCACCACGGGGACCACCGCGACCAGGCCCACGAGGATAGCCATTATCGCGGAACGCACGCATGCCGCCTCCACCCCCAGCTCTGGGTCCCATGATCGGGCCTGATGCACCATTGAGCGCCGGTGCAACAGATCCGTCCTCGAGCGGTGCGAGAATTGCACATTCAATGTAGTCTCCAACGATGAAACGGGCATCCTGTAGGGGTCTGTCGGCTTCGGAGCCCTGGAAACGGAGCGGGCCAGGGCGAGGTCGTGCTTCCTTATCCTCGTCATCTTCTGCGCGCAGTGCACTATCTCTCGGACCAACAATCGCACTGCCTAAATCCCTGCTCAAGTATCGACCACGCGCATCGGGGCCGCCCATTGCCGCGCCGCGCGCGTCGGGATAAATCAGTCGGAAGCAGAGACGGGTGCCAACGGGCGGATCAGGGAGTAATGATGGAAGAGCGGAGGTGAGAAGCTGTGAGAGCTCGCGAAGTGTGCATGATTGCCATGTGTAGATCTCTAGATGTGGTGGGAGCGGCGCTGCAGATGCGACAGGTGATGTTGGACGAATGGCATTTGGTCCACTGACTGGTCCTCCACGACGAGGTTGCACGGGGATGCTGTAGTCGGATAGAGGGTTGTAGTTGTTAACTCGGTAGAAGAGCTTCAAATGGAAAGGTGCAGTGGTCTGGCGGTTGATCGAGGGTTTGGGGCCCTCTCGCGACGGAGCGGCCATGATGGATGGCAGGGTGAAAATCAGAGGTTGAAGACCCGAGGATGGGGATAAAACAGAAGAAAATGGATGATGCGAGGACTGGAATGTAGATTAAAGCTTAGATAGAGGTCCTTGAAGGTAGATGTTTGGGATATTTTGGTTGAGGGGGAGTTGACTGGAAGAGACAAATGCGGCGTCGAAAAGCTGCGGGTTCTCTCTGACGTGCCGAACATTCTTTTCCTGCCATCTGCCTCCACACCCATCTTCGCTCAACTCAACTCGATCTTATTTATTATCTACATAATTTTACCTTGAACTACAGTCGCATTATCCAAGCAGTTCGCTGCATCATCCCGCCACCATGGATTTCGCCGCATTGATGTCCAAGGAAATCTCGAAAGCCAAGGGTAGCGATTCCTCGAAGCCATCTGCCAAAGATACCGAAAAAGGCTCCCCCGCAGTACCAACGAAGAAATACCTACGAAGAGCCGATGTCGAAGCTGCCCGAATTGAAGCTTACAACGAAGAACAAGAGCGACTCGCACGCGAACGTGAAGAGCGCATGGCGAATAAGCGCAAGCTCGAAGACGAAGAAGCAGATCGAAACCGAGAACGCGAGGAGAAGAAGCGAAGACTAGCCGAGGAGTCCAAGACGAGGAGAGAGGCAGAAGAACGAGCCAAAGAACGTGAACGGCGACGCAGGCTCGGTCTACCTGATCTACCTGAGGACACCCCAGCCGACGGTGACGAAGAGGAAGATATCGAGGAGGAGGAGCTTGTTGCAAAATTACGAGAGATGAATGCACCTATACAATTGTTCGGAGAGGACTATCGAGCCCGTCTTCGACGATACCGTCGTCTGGTTCAACGAGCCGCTGTTCCCAAGAAGAAGGTGACCGACGGACCTATCCCCACCACCTTGGAGCCCGTGTCTGGTGGACAAATGATCATTCCGGCCGAGATTCCGAAAGACCAAGAGAACCGTCTGTTCCTTTTCCGGCAGTTGGGATCTTACTTCAACATGGTTTTGTCGGAATGGGAGCTGGCACTAGCAAAGCGTGACGTCTCGGTGCGGGAAAGCTTCCAGGGGAAACAGGCGTTCAATGCTATGACCCAATCGCGCGAAAACATGACACCGTTGTTCCGCCTCTTTGAGAAGTCCGAATTGGAGGACGGACTGTTAGAACCGATTGTGGAGATCGTGCACAAGGCGCAGCAGCGGCGATACGTCGATGCAAATGATGCCTATCTACGAGTGAGCATCGGTAAAGCGTATGTCGATTCACCTACTGTGGTAAATTTGGGAATGATTGCTAACATTTCTATAGAGCCTGGCCCATTGGTGTGACCATGGTTGGTATCCACGAGCGATCTGCACGAGAGAAGCTACATCAGAGTGACCAGCAGGCACACATTCTGAGTGATGAGATTACCCGTAAGTATCTACAGAGTATCAAGCGCTGCTTGAGCTTTGCTCAAGTCCGCTGGCCACCGGAGGATCAATTGCAGATGATGGGTTAGCCTGTCGAGAATAGTGTCGAATATACCCATTAGCGTTTCGAGAAGGAAAAAAAAATCCGAATTCATAGTCCGTAATATTCAGTCTATCAATTTGGACCTCAATCTGAACCGGTCTCTTTCAATAAGACGGCTACCTACAACATAGGTACCTGATAATGGGGCTTGGCCTTGGTCACATGTTCACATGGGACTGTGTGATTACATAAGAGCATTTGACCACTCGGCCAAAAGATCATAGGGACAATCGGAACGTCCGATTGTCGCTGCAGCGGTATATATATTAGGCCCTAGACTCTGCTCGTGACCACAGGTTGCTCCCGAAGTCCTTTTCTAGCTAACTAGTGTACTTAGGTAATATCAAAAGTGCATAGTTATAACTACGGTGTGCTGGCTAATGTATGCAATAAAGAATGGACTCTGTTATCTTAAACACAACATCTACCACTTTGGTAAAGCCAGACATCCCTTTATACAACATACAGCCAAGGCATACCTCGGACTGTGACCGAGCTGGAAGTACAGTGGGGTATTCATCAAGAGCACCCACTTCCCTCGACATCCTCTGTTGTACGGAGTTCTCCGTACAGGTATCATCATCAAATGAATATCAGTTACGCCCTCGGGCCCTCTTTTATTATTTTGTCCTTACAGGACGTCATGAGAACTCTGGAAACCGTGGACCCCACGGTCCGTTCCGATTGTGTGGGGGAGACAGATTATACCTAAGATATATATCTAGGTAGTACATATATACCTATATAACATAACTATATAGATATGTTGTATATATATATAACTATACCGTAGAATATATAGGTATCAGCCTATATGAAATTTAGTATGAGTTAGTAGAACGATACTGGTAATGATGGGATAACCCCGACTTGAAGCTGGTTGGGGTAATCACTATGTTAGTGACGCCCAGCAAGGCCAAGAACAGCTCCAAAGCCACAAGGCTCCTGGCCCCCAAGCTAAAAGACGCCCCCACCTCTATTTTGATTTAGAAGGTGAGCCGGATAGAGGCACAATATAGCTATTGCTATCTTTATATTCGTGACACTTATTGAGATATCATGATCTATTGATCTATTTTTCAGACATATGTTGTAGGTGTTCGAGGTATCTCCCACCAGAATACCCTATATCCCCCCTGGTTATATATGAATGCGCTAGATCTAAGAGATCGTCCAGCCCCCAAAAATTAACCTGTGCAAATGGTTCCATTCAAGAAGATCGCTGGATCTTTTACTATATATGTGCAATACATGTACGAAATGCCAAGGCAATCCTTTGGTTTAGAGAAGGTGAAATGTAACCACATCAACTTGTTTATATTAACGAAGGATGAATCGTCAAGGATATATCGCCAATGATACATCGCCAAGGGTTGATCCATCCCCTTTGGTATATAGCAAAGGTGAAAACGCAACTACATATTTCAACTTGTTTGTATTTGCGAAGGATTGTGTTTGCAAGATTCCTAGGCTATATAAGATAGCCCTTTCACTCTTCTATCTCGAAATTATCTACAATCACTTCTATCTTATTCCTATCATATCCTCCAAAGACCTTACTGCATCTCCCGTTTGTGACGAAACTCCAACATTCAAGATGAAGCTTAGCCTCATTGGAGCTGTCGTTCTGGCTACCGGTGCCATTGCCGGAATGGGTGAGTATATTTTACTATATCTACAGATACTATGTACAAGATCTAACAGGCTGAATACTTGAAAAAGGCCCGAATGACTACACATGCTGGAACAAGAAATGTGCTGGCAAATGTGAACCAAAGAATGGCGGAAGAGAAGGCGACATCATTGGCAGAATAATCAAGCCAGGAGACAAATGGTGCTATATGAAAGGTGGCAGCGACAACTATGGAGATTTCCCGCGAAAGTGTGATCCAACCCTAGGATGCGGCGCACCTCATGATAACAAGCTTGGTTGCATCACGAAGGATTATGATGAGGGCTCGGGTGGATGTACCGAAGGGAAGACCTACTAGTCGACGGCATGTTGTCGCTGGTAATGCTTTGCTTTTCGACAGTATAGCATCTCAGCTGCTCTATTACTTTCGTTTATCTTCAGAGTGGAACCGAATATATGTCCAGGGTCATGAATTTGAGGAATACGAATGATAATTGCCCTGGCTTAATTTGACACACCCATTCACAGTTAGATTGTATCGGCTGGTAGCCACTGGATAACTAGAGCTTCCCGAAATTAGAACTAAAGGGTTGCTCTGTAGCTAGTGTATACGGTATTTTTTATACCTGGGGAGTCCAAAATGATAACGGTGTTTATTGTCAGTGCTAGGAGCTCCACGATAGGCACCAACCCTATAAACGCAGTATCCTCGAGATACCATCATTCATATGGTGCCATCAGTGTATTTTCTAGCACCTTCTTGGGGAATTCTTCCTCGCCAAGTGTCGTTGTATGTGCCCAAGGCTTGAGCCGATTCTCTTCATGAATGGTACTAGCGAAGCACCCACTCCATTTCAGACGAGGGAAATGGCTGGAAACCTCTTGGATAGTGGCGGGATGAATGAGATTGGCATATAAGCCAACATTGTCTGTTTTCCAATAAGTCGGTTTAGTGAATAGTAGTAGGGCATTTTGGTCGCGGTTTCAAGGAATCTGGTGTCAAAATCATCGACTCTGATAGAGGGCCAACATACCGAAGATTGTTGCCAGCTGAAGTAGTTGACCGAGCGCTGTGGTTTTACCCTTTTCACACAAGTCTTGATGTCGGATGATAGCTTCTGCCACGCTCTCTGCCTGATCTTTCGGGGCAACTGCCACCGAGCCTCCTACAAAGGAAGGTTGTAGGTTCTGTAAAACTTCCAGTGCTTTCAAGCCCCCAAAGAACTCGAAACTCATTTTAGTGGCCTCCAAGTTATCTTGGGTTGCTCCGATATCGTGAAGCAGACAGGCAAGGAAGTATGTTTCATCGGTGAAGTCCCATTCAGGGAACCTGTACCGCTTCATCGCAAGCCCAAAATGATAAACGCGAAGGGAATGATTGTATGTCGGCTCAGAAAGATGTGACTTTGCATACTCATTGATCCGCTGGGCGAGGGGTGTTTCTGGAGTCGGAACTTCGGCCACTGCAACGAATGGAGCAGCCCTTGCTGGGGGATCTGTTGCGAGAAGAGTAGTAGCAGATGATAGCACAGCTGTGAGGCCATACGCTGATACTGGGCTATTGGGTGGCCACATTTTTCTTTTTGGATATTGAGATTGAAGAGAGAGAAAGTCGAGTTAGGAAGGATAGCTCTGGTCAATACTACTTGGGGATAATCTCTCTCTCTCTCTATACTTTCTCATCAATATTAGACAAAAATGAATATTAAGGTTGCTAAGCACATTAGGGCTGAAAATGTAACCATGACTCAATTTGCCACTGAACTGTTAACCGGAAGAGAACCCCATTTCGTGTTGGCTACAATTGGTAATTATCAACTATTCAACTAGTTATTATTAGTGTCACATACGTGCCCAGGTGTTTTTCGTATAGGGCATCCGGCTTGGCGCGATGCGCCCCGACATGTTATTCACGTTGGAGAATGGGTAAACATCAATATGACCCGAGTCATATGTTTGATTGCTGGAAATGTGTTCGGTGGAGAGGTGAATACGAGTAAGTTCTCTGATCGATTGGAGCGAGAAACTAACGCGAACGTCTGGTCAGCTCATTCTACTCCTGTTATTAGCAGGTTCTGTGCACACTTCATTCGGAATTCAAGGGAAAATTGGAGGGTTGATTGTGAACTGCAATCAGAGAGTGGTGAGAGGGAGCAGGAACAAAATTGTCGAAAATAAGATAGATGAAACAATATATATGATGTATGCCTTTTCATGGCATTTCTAGAATTTTACATTGAGGATCATGATATACATGTAACATATTCTGGTCTTACACCAGGCTCATCGTGTAAGACCATTCCACATGCGGGAGAATGTCGTCCACCAACCACGTGCAGCAGACTGGTCTGTGACTGTTGGCATTTTGCCGAGGGTATCTTCACGAGTCAGGTCCGATGCATCGCTATTTGGATAGACATGGTGACCATCCATGCCGTTCATTACGGAAAGCGAAGAGCCATGTAGTTTAGCAGATGACGTGAAACTACTGCAGACACTGCGGCAGTCCCGCTCGCCATCTATCAGATGCCCAGCAGTGTAGATACATCCGCCGTATGAGAATCTGACTAGAGAATCTCCAATCAGGCTGCCGATGATGTAAACCCCCGGTGCGACCTCGAGGTCCTCGATTGCTTTCGCACGGAGGGTCTGGCCGGTGACTGCTAGATCCTCTTGAGTACCCTGCCCCAGCACTTCACAGCGGAGCTCGGAATCGAGATAATCTAGCTTGCCTCGCCGGCCGGCAGCATAAACGAGGCCGCCCACGGTTCGAGAGAAAACAGTTCCATCTTGACGACGGAATGTGACCGTCGCCAGATCGCCATGAACTTCGACAGCTGTCACTTCAACATTAGGGAGACCTTCATAGATATCTTCCCAATTCCGGCTTTCAAGGAATGGCGTTGAAGTCGCGCGTCGGTACTTTGGGCGCTGGTCTTTAGCAGCAGCCTCGGCTGACAGGGCAGCTCGTTTCATAAGACGGTAGACACCGGCGTATTCCGGATATGCTTGCTGATGACAGGCCCGGAGAGGCGATGGGCGGTCATTCGGAGACCATTTGTATAGATGCAAAATCCTTTGGTTGGAGGAGGCGGAGATGATGGCATCCGCAGCAGAGAAGCCAGATCCAACGACGAGTAGGGGGACGTTAGGCGAGGACTTTGTCTCAAGCAATGGACGTAACACCGGTTCTGGTGAGAGGACCTCGGAAAAGATTCCACTCGCGAGGACGAGGCGCTTGCAGTGGAGATTATGAGAACGAACATAAAATCCAGTGGCGGTGCGGGAAATGCCCTTCAATTCTTCCCCACACCGGAAAGAATCATCGATGTGCGCAGCCTCCGGATAAGCAGCAAAATAATCGGCGATCTCGCGCCGCGTGGGCCTTGTATATGATGGTAGATCCTTGCCCGAGGTCTTTTTGTGATGATTGGCAAAGGAGTACCCGGGCAATGACAGCATTGCCGCATAACTCAATGTCTGGATATCCCAACTTGCGCCCCATGGGTCTTCAGTCCATTGGCCTCCAGGCTTCAAGGACTTTCCAAAAACCAAATGCGAGACAGCCTTCTCAGGCTGTGAGCGCCAATCGATATTGGAGATGCATCCAGGCTCATCCACATCAACACTTGGCCGTACAAGTGTGTCTAGTAAGACGTTCACAGGAAGAGCCTGAGTCGAGTATGAGAGGCGTGAGGCATCAAAGTGCGCTGTGAGAGCATTCACATCGGCATTCAAAATCTCTGGCGCAGCTTTCAACTTGGCATCTAATAAATGATCGGGATGTGGAGGATCGGATGAGTAGAAAGGAATGTGTCCATGGAGGATGTATGAAAGGATCATGGCCGACGGCCCATTGCCTGGTAAGATCGATTTAATCAGTTGCTATTTCCCAAGGACGTCTTAACGGTGCGGGGTGGAATGTGGGGGTGCAAGCAGAGCAAAAGTTCTGAATGTCCTCAACATGGGACGCCGACCATGATAGACGTACCGACGATGATAGTGTCAACCTCCATTGACGGCGATGTATATCAAATAAGTGATAGAGCGTGTGGCATACTGGTATAGACATGCGACAGGGTAAAAGAAAAAAAAAAGAGTAGATCATCCAATCAAAGCAGGATGAGATCCTTGTCACACTGCCTTCTCATGAGAGGTCGACAGCAAGGCCATAAGGGAATATGACATTTGTAGCCCAAGGAATTCAAGGAAATCAAGGAAAGTTGAATGCCCCCAGACAAAATGGAGGGAGGGGGGGCAGTTCGTATCGGCATCGGCTGATCAATATGTAATCAAAAGCTGACAAACCCTGGGAAAGTGGAGTTTGTTCGGTGGAGAAGAGGAGAATCGGGAAAGTCGACGATTTTCCATTTGCCGTTCTCTCACCAATGACCCTGGGAAACCGAAGCCGAGGGAAGTATTTGCCGGTCTATCATGATAGTGTCATATTTGTCACATTTTTGAAGTTAAGAGTTGAGATATGAATGTTTTGGATGAGTTGAATGAGTTGAATGAGTTGAATGTGTTGGATGCATATGTTAAATGTATAACTATGTTAGTTAGTTACTCCGTTGTAGTTCTCTTGAGGGACATCCCCAGATATCATTTAGCCCTAAGCCCTAACTTCCCAAAATGGATGCGGCCTGCAACGCGGCCCCCCGGAGAACATGAAGCCCTTTAACGTCAGAGAACTGCGATGTCATGATTTCGGTTTTTGATTCAGTTTTTCTATAACTACTATTTGCGCTTGGCCTTGAGCTCCCATAGGGAACGCGATCATGTATCACCTGGCCAAGTCGCTGTACTTAGCCGCCACGAGCAAAGAAGGTAACTCCTCCCTCCTATCGCATAACCTTCCATGCTGATTACCCTGAACTACAGAGTATTCTGTTATCCTGCTTGGGTTAGATAACGCCGGCAAAACAACACTCCTCTCCCAGATCAAGGCGTTGTACCAACCCCGCTCTGATGGCGCCCCAGCACCCAACCCCGGAAAAACAGTCCCCACCGTCGGGCAGAATGTCGCAACGATAGCCCTACCAGACATGAACTTGAAGATTTGGGACGTTGGCGGTCAGATCTCCATGCGCGGACTTTGGCAGAGCTACTACACCAGCTGTCACGCGATCATCTTCGTGGTCGACAGTGCCGATGTTGGTCAAGATCCCGATATCGCGCGGCTTGCTCGGCGCGCAAGCTCCGTGGCAGGTCCAGCGCGCAACGGCACACGAGGGAGCACAAGTGCCGATGCCTTTTCAGAGCAAAATGTCGGAATCAACGCGGCTAGCAGTGAGTTCGGGCGATTAGACGAGTGCCGTCAAGTGCTTGAGTCGGTCTTACAAAGTGCCGACGTGGCTGGTGTTCCTATCCTGGTGTTGGCAAATAAGCAGGACCGTGAAGACTGCGTCGAAGTGGTTCGCATCAAGGAAGGGCTTGTCCGGAAAGTGTTTGAAGGGGAAACAGGAAGCGGCGTCCGTGACAGCCGTGTGCTGCCGGTCAGCGCGCTGCTTGGGTCTGGTGTACAGGCGGCTGTGGAGTGGGTACAAAGTCGAGTCAAGTGGAACAAAGAGGGCAGGCCACCAGTGATGCGCTGATTCGATCTTGGGGCTGCCGACAATTCTCGTACATGATATCGAGCGCAGCATATGATGCATAATGGCGTTTGTTCATGATAATTTACATTTTCTGTTAATATACCAATGGAGTCTATTCGATATCAAGTTAACCATCAGCCACCCATATCATTTAGGCAGTTGAAACTATTGTAGGGATGGTTCCAGGCATTTTATTCCGCCTAGGTAGACATTATGTATATGGTATTATGGACAAGAATATGTAAAAATGGGCCGAGGATGAGAGGACATGAAGGGAGGTCGTTAGACGAGGTTAGAAGCCGTCCAAGACAAGCAGGAGAGGCACAGAACTGAGAGTAGACCTTTCTGAAGAAAGAATCGACAGGCCGGTATTTTCTGCGCCGATGACTGTTTTCTTTCCTTTTTTTTTTAATTCAGCGAACAGTTCTGGTGGTCTGGGTTTTACTCGCCGGTGGCTTCTTTGGCCAACTTCGTGCGATATCAATGTTGGCTCGTGGAAACCACATCTCAAGGAAGACATAGATCAAGAAGTCAATCACGACACACAGGCAGAACAGCTTGCCTGCCCAGACACCACAGCCGTAGTAGCGTTTCAACCGGTCAATAAGCGCAAAGCTGCGGACGCGATCTCCACTCGCTTCCCAACCCTGGCCTGGATAGTAACCGTAAAACTCCTCTGGGCTAATATCACCAATGATGCCTTCGTACACGCGTTCTGTGCGCGCGGCCACGTCCCGCCATGAATACATCATCTTCACTTGATCATGAAATCGGTCCGTTCGTACTTTGTTCGAGCGCAAAGCCGCGATTGCCTTGCTAGTTGCAAGCACAATATCGTCCTCTTCCGGTTTCGCAAACGTTGTCATATGCTGGGGTAAAACTTCTGGAATGCCTCCAACACGGGTACAGACCACATAGAGACCACAACTAGCAGCTTCAACAATGACTGTTCCGAATGCTTCTGTCAGACTAGGATGGAGG